ATCCAAAAGTTATTTTTCTATTGAGAAGAGAGAAGAGGTGGGTTTTTTTTTTTTTTCCTTTTGGTTCCAATCTTTTCACCCAGTGACAAAGCATAAATCATGGACACCAGAGAATAAGGTGGACCTCAGGAACCCTGAAAAGACTGAGAAGCTTACATTCTTCCTCTGGAGGGAAGAGTGGGGTGTTTTCAGCCATCTCTGGAACCTAAAAGAAAAAACATGAGTTGTGTGCCATGGAAAGGAGACAAGGCCAAATCTGAATCATTGGAGCTGCCCCAGGCAGCACCCTCACAAATCTACCATGAGAAACAGCGCAGGGAGCTTTGTGCCCTCCACGCCCTCAATAACGTCTTCCAGGACAGCAATGCCTTCACCCGGGATACGCTGCAAGAGATTTTCCAGAGGTAGGGGACCCTTCTCCTTGGCATCTTGATACTTACTGATATTTCTGGATTTCTGTGGGTGGGGCAATGTCTCAGCTTCATCAATCTTCAAACCTGTAGGTATTAGCTAGATGCCATTAGCAGGTATAAGGGACACACGACAGGAAAAGATAATCACTACCATTTATCTGGCACGTACTATGGGCTAGGCACAGTGCTCATAGCCTCTGCTGTGTTTTCTTGAGTGATCTGCTCAGCAGTCCCATGGAAGACATGTTAATACCTGGAGTTATTTCCATTTTAATGATGAAGACAACATTTAGTTCAGTACTTTGCCCAAGGTAACAAGACTTGGAACTGGGTTGAATTCTTTTAGTATGCTGTTGACCACTATGTTTAATGCCTCTAAAGTTCTGCCGAGGAGTTTACAATCTAGAGGTGGGACAAGATATGTACACATTCAGTCACCTGTCATCAAAGGTTGAATGTGGTGGGTACCACAAGCAAGATGTATACACAGTGCTCAGCATTTCTGTGAGGCCACGTGCTGGCAGTGGTGCTTTTGGTACACTGCTTCTTGTAGCCCTCCTAGCAGTCATCTCACTGCCTGTATTTTACTCATAAACAGCCAGAAAGGTGAGGTAATATGTCCAAATGGCTTCTAAATAGATAGCAAAGCTATAATTTGAAACTGACTCTGAATCCCCTCCTCTTTTTCCATTATTCTAGATGGTCTTTCTTACCCACTTAGAACAAATGGCACTCCACAGGTTAATAGAAGTTCAGCTTTTGGCCAAGCACCATGGTTTATGCCTGTAATCCCAATACTTTGGGAGGCCAAGGCAGGTGGAATCACCTAAGTTCAGGAGTTTGAGACCAGCCTGGCCAACATGGTGAAACCCTGTCTCTACTAAAAATACAAAAATTAGCTGGGTGTGGTAGCGCATGCCCATAGCCCTAGCTACTAGGGAGGCTGAGGCAGGAGAATCACTTGCACCAGGAGGTGAAGGTTGCAGTGAACCAAGATCCCACCACTGCACTCCAGCCTGGGCAACAGGTCTTGGGGGGAAAAAAATGAGTTCAGCTTTTTTCTCTTTGCTCTGATTTTCTAGAATTGCTTTTAGGTTTTGAGAATCACTTCTGTCATGTCTTGATGAACACAACAGCATGTCTGCGGTCCATAGCAACTCTGGTGGTGATGTTGCCTGATGACCCCAACTAGAAAGGGTTAGGCCCACTCAGTCCTCATTGCAGAAAAGCTCAAGCATTCTTTGAGCAGTGCATATTGGCATTTCTAGAAGATGTTTTTCTTACTCTCTTAGCTTGTAAATGAAATTATTGCCACATAGGGACCAGAATTACAGCTGGGAGCAACCTATTCGGGGTGATTTATAAAAACACAGGTAGGGATCATTTGCCCTGAAAGAGCCAGAGGCCTACTCTTAAAAGAATGTTAATCCCCATATGCAGACAAAACTATAATGAGAGTAATTATTTTCCAATGCCAGTAGTAACCAGAATAATGCCTTAGCAGAGCAAATACGTTGTTTGCGTCATGGCCATAATCTGGCAGCAAGTAGAGTTGACTCTCCAGGACCTGGAGTGCTGGGAGATAAGATCATTTGTCTCAGATCATCAGATCATGTCACTGAAAGGAGGATCCACTACATTGGACTGCTTTCTTTTGACCAGCCATTAGTATTTCTCCTACTCCTAACCTGATATTTGCAAATTATTTCCTAATCTAAAACTAGGGAGAAGGAAAGGACTCAGGGTGAGTACTGAACTGTGCTTGATACTTTTTGACACTTTGTGATCTGTACGAACAATCTTGCAACAATCCTATCAGTGATAATCTTAGGAAACTAGGATGCAGTTGAGGCGATTTCCCCAGTTTCACTCACTAGGAAATAAATTCCAGAAACAAGATTCTCTATATCCAGTCACACTCTGGTAGAAAAATTTTCACTTCTGTGCATTTGGCCCCTGATCTGACTGTGGGAATAACGATGAGATCCCCAACACACATGAACACTTAGTACAAAGCACCATTCTGAGTGCTTTACTTTTGTTAACTCAGTCCTCACAAGAGAGTTCACAGCTATTGATGGCAGGATTTGGCCCCACCCTTTGTGACTCTAGAACCTGCCCCACTAACTGCTCTCCTGTTTCCCAAGTACTGGAAAGGCCTGTAGAGTTGCACCATCAGTAGCTGTTCCTCCAGCTGCTGAGTTGGGCCAGTGCTGAAGTTCTGGACTGTGCTCGTCAAGTGTGGATAATAACAGGAGTTTCTCAGCTATATTCTCCTGAATAAAAGAACACTAAATGTTTGCTAAACCTGCATGGAACCAAGGTCCTATTCCTTTTAAAGCTTTAGCAAATTGTACTGCACTCTTTGATTGTAGCATCATAATGTAAATATCAAAAAAGTGCCGGCAAGCCAGCACATAAGGGCATGTATTCTGTCCCCACCCCAGAATTGGGATTCTGCATAGAGTATTTTATATAGAAAGAATGTGTTGAGTAGGTAGGAACAAAAAATAAACAAGTGGGAAAGGAATCTAGAGGAAAAAGCAAAGGGAGAAGAGGTGAGGGAGAGAAGATGGAATTTTTTAAACAAACATTGACTAGCTGCCTGCGGAGTGCCAGGCACTACAAAGGCACCATAAAGAAAACAAGTTGAACAGGCCTCAGCCCCTGAAAAGCACATCTCAGAGCTATACTTTAACCAGGCCTTGAGATTAGATTTAAGTGAAGTTAGATTTAAGTGAAGTTAGAAATTAAATTAGATTTAATTGCATTCAGAGCAATTAAAATGAAAAGATGATCAATTTGGATCTTTGTGGGTATAATTCTATGCTGTTTTGAAGTGTGGCTAGTGAATGGTAGAAATGGGAGGGAAATGCTGATAAGCGCTATTTATTGAGAGGAAGTTCATCTTAGCAGTTGAATTTTAGCCAGATAAAAGAAGCAAATACAAAAGCAGGGTGGAGTTTCAAGAGAGTTGTGGATATGAGATGATTCATGCTTAGAAATGAATAGGAACTCAGAACTGAGCTAATGACTCAACATGGCAGCAAGGAGGACAGGGAGGAGTGGAGTCAGGTGTGTCAGGCTTGGTCCAGGATTTCAACATAGTGGTAACAAATGCAAAAAGAGGTCATTTGTTTAAAAGGATCTGTTTTCAACCTGTGAAATTGGAGAAAAGATAAATTGGGCAGGTGTCATCAGTGTATATGTTATAGATGTAGAAATTTGATCTCATCATTTCATATAAAGAATGTGGGCCAGGTGCGGTGGCTCATGCCTGTAATCCTGGCACTCTGGGAGGCAGAGGCAGGTGGATCACCTGAAGTCAGGAGTTTGAGACCAGCCTGGCCAACATATAGTGAAACCCCATCTTTACTAAAAAAAAGAAAAAAAAATTTTTTTTTTTTTTTTTTTTAAAGATGAGATTTCACCATATTAGGCTAGTCTCGAACTCCTGACCTCAGGTGATCCGTCCACCTCAGCCTCCCAGAGTGCTGGGATAACAGGCGTGAGCCACCGCACCTGGCCTTAAAAAATAGAAAAATTCGCTGGGCATAGTGGTGCATGCCTGTAGTCTCAGCTACCCAGGAAACTGAGGCAGGAGAATAATTTGAACCCAGGAGGCAGAGGTTACAGTGAGCCAAGATCTTGCCACTCCAGCCTGGGCAACAGTGAGACTCTGTCTTTCAAAAAAACAGGAAAAAAAAAAATGTGCCTAAGGTTTGAAAAAAAGGGCCATAGAAATCAAATTATATGATGGCAGCTTTGCTAGATTGTTTTGAAAGTCCTCAGGCCTAAAACATTTTCACTAGACTCATCCCAGTTTTTCAGTGATCAGATTCTTGCATCTAGCTATGCATTTCTCTCCTAAATAGGATATTTAATATTAAAATTTAACCAGGGCTGGGCTTGTGGCTCATGCCTGTAATCCCAGCACTTTGGGAGGCCGAGGCGGGTGGATGGCTTCAGCCCAGGAGTTTGAGACCAGCTTGGGTAACATAGTGAGACCCCCATCTCTACAAAAAATTTAAAAATTAGCTGAGCATGGGGGCTCGCACTTGTAGTCCAGCTACTTGGGAGGCTGAGGTGGAAGGATGGCTTGAGCCCAGGTGGTTGAGTCTGCAGTGAGCCATGTTCATGCTACTGTACTCCAGCCTGGGTAAAAGAGCAAGACCCTATCCAAAAAAAAAAATCTAGGCAAAAACTAGCATTCTCTACCACAGAGGATGAGTATTCCAGCCTCTCCGTTACACAGTTCCTGATCAGGTGGAAGGGGCTACATTTTAAAGTATGGTGATGATAACTGAGAAAGGTTGTTAAGTATTAACCTCTAGAGACTTGAATTATGTTGTCCAAGGGCTAGGCAAACACATAGTCATAATAGCTCACACCTACAGATTACTAATGTGTGCCTAGCTCTTTGACCCATGCCTGATTTAAAAACATCAGGAAGTTCTGAGCCATATTTTCTAATGTCACGTCTCTTCACATCTGATAAGGAAATAAAGAATTAGGGTGGGGAAAAGAATCTTGATGAAATGTCTCTCATCTCCCTTTTCATTAATATCCAAAATCATCACCATAGTCAGACACAGTGGAAATCACAAGAGGAACAGGGACTTACCTGAGGACACAGACAGTAGGGGAGACCTGGACTAGAGCCCATCTTCTCACTTGTGGATTACTTCACATCTCAGGGTTCTAACCTCTGGCTGTGATGACAGAAGTGAGAGGCTCACTTTATAGCCCAGAATTTCTATGGAAATCATTAAGACAGTCATGACCAGGAGTTTGCCAAGGAGTCTCAAGAATACTTGCCACTGGAATCAACAGGATCTCGTGGAACTCAGTGGGACTGGTGTGTTGAAATAACCAGAGCACTGCTGCATATTGTCTTAGGGTAGAGGCTGAATCCTAGCCCTCCCACTCACCAGCTATGCCTGACTAGGCAAGTCACCATAACCTTTGCACCTCAGCTTCCATATTTACGGTATCTCAAGATGGCTGGAAGTGATAAAGCCCATAAAAGCAGCTAACACAGTGGCCACTTGATTACTGTTAAAGTCAAAACAAGTGCTGGTGTGATGAGTACACTGGGTGGGCCCCACTTATTCAAATGATCATTCCTCTAGAATGAGATGGAAGCTACTCTCAACATTTCCTGTAGTGATCAAATTGCCCAACGTTTATTGAGTTGCCAGTGCCTGCCTGTGAGGGATATAAAGTAAAGAGCCATCCAGGGATTTAGTGTTTGGTTGAACATATATAAAATAACTGAATTCTCCAACAGTCCTGTGAAATAGTAATCATTCCCATTTTTACAGGCAAGGTAATAGGCATGGAGATTAAATCTCATAGTTAGGGTTGATGGTGCTTGGAAATGAACTCAGATATGTATGGTCCTCACTCCCTCCCTTTTCATAGAGGATCCAGGGAAGATCCTATGGAAAAAGATAGGGTGTGAGGTTGAACTTGAAGAAGCTGTAGGATTTGGCTTGGAACGGAAATAGGATAAAAATAGAGGCTGCCAGGCACAGTGGCTCAAGAGGGCGGGTGAGACAGGAGGATCAATTGAGCCCAGGAGTTTGGGCCTACAGTGAGCTATGACCATACCACTGTAATCCAGCCTAGGTGACAGAGGAAGAAAAATAGAATAAAGGCCATATGACCATGGTGCCTAATGTGCACTAAGCCTACTTAGAGGGATACAGCTAGCCAAGTAGGGCTGGGAGGTGTAGAACTGGCCAGATAGGCAGCTGGTACCATTGTCAGTTCCTATACAAGGGGAAGTGAAATGATGCCTTGGTGAATGTGGCAGGAACATAGAGTCTGAATTGGTGGAAGGAACGTTTGGAAGCAAGGTGATCTATTTAGGAATCTGTTTCAAAAGTCCAGGTGTGAAGTGACGAGCCTCTGGTCAGGAGGGAGGTGGAGTGGGAATAGACAGGGAAGAATTTGAATCCAAGACAGAAGATGAAGGACAGAGAAGAAAGATCATTGGAACGCTAGTCCTGTGAGGTGCACCTCAAAACAAAGGTATGATGAGAAAATATCTAACACTTGTTAACAACAACAACAAAAAAAAGATGTCGTCAAATGTGTTTGGGAACTGAAGCATATTTTATAACCCCCTTTTCTTGAGACTCAAGGTAAAAATTAGCAAGTTAGGGACTCCCAAGAATTCTGCAGGAAACCCATTTACCTACTTGGTTCATTCAGCTGTTACTGTATTGGATGCCTTCTGGGATCCTCTGTTAATGAGCATGGAACTGGCATCTCCATGAGCACCCTTGGGAAGTGCTGCTCTTAGATTTGAGCCTGGTGGGGAGTTAGATAGTGAATGAGGTGGAAGACTCAGCATTTTCCTTGTTGGAGCCTTCATTTATGTACTGGTTGGAGATTTCACTGAAAGGAATGAGAAGCTATTAAAAATTTGGTAAAGAGAAAGGAACCAATTATATCTTGAGCTAGGCCGTCTTTCATATGTGTTCTCTTTTTTGTTTGTTTTTTGAGAGAATCTCTCTCTGTCGCCCAGGCTGGAGTGCAGTGGCACGATCTCAGCTCACTGCAGTCTCGCCTCCTGGGTTCAAATGATTCTCATGCCTCAGCCTCCCAAGTAGCTAGGATTACAGGTGCCTGCCACAATGCCCTGCTAATTTTTGTATTTTTAGTAGAGACGGCGTTTCATCATGTTGGCCAGGCTGGTCTCAAACTCCTGACCTCAGGTAGTCCACCTGCCTTGGCCTCCCAAAGTGCCAGGATTACAAGTGTAATCTGTAATCCCGCACCCGTCCAAACCTTTGTTTTTTAAAGCTATGTTTCAGCCCCAGTCCTCAGGGACTTAGCTGGCCTCTCCTCTTTTCAAGCCCTTACCCTCTCCTCTGATTCTTGGATCCTTGCTGTAAAACAGCAAACATAGGGGTGAGGGGCACAGTAAAAAAATAAAAATAAACAAAAAAACAGCAAGCATATCTTTGGATTCAAGTGCATCAAGGTTTGAATCTTAGTTGTGTCACTTGTAAGTGCTCATGGGCAGGTCAGTTAAAACCACCAAACCTCAATTTTATGAATCTATATGATAGAAATGATTCATATAGCCGGGCGCGGTGGCTCAAGCCTGTAATCCCAGCACTTTGGGAGGCCGAGGCGGGTGGATCA